TGTAAAAGTACGTTTCTTTAAGAATCAGATAATGTATAAATTCAGAAGTTGAACTGAGTGTCGAAATGAAATAATTAATGCATGCCTAAATAATGAGTAGTACAATTTGGCTGCGGCGATAAGTATGATTAGAGAACTATAATTATTCATAGTTTTCCTTCCGTACTCAAACATTTTTTGAATTGCCATGTGCACTTGAGCATATATGGGAAAATATATATATGTTTCAGCTTCTGCAAAATTCAGTCCGGTCAATTTATCGAATTATTGAAACATTCAGCAAATTTAGAAGCTATAAAGTCCCATAAGTTTTAAAGATATGGCCATGTATTAGTTGGCTACAGCCGATAGACGAGAACATTAATAACTAATCAAAGAATAAATTTATGATGAAAGCAAATGTTTTACATCAAATATATGATGCATTTCATGTGGATATTATTTGCCAATTTCTGATTACTATTTTTGCGTATCTGTCATTATCGACTACTTTTTCGTGCGCAGTAACATTGTTCGAATAACGTGAAGTTATATTTCAATGTATTTTGTGTTATTTTTCATCCATATCTAATGCAGTTGAAGGTAACAAAACAATTTAATCTATTTATAGGTCAATTTAATGGTACTGTAAATGGTTTCATATTTGTCTCAGTTATTGGTTTGTTCTAACTTTTGGTTGTTCAAGTTTGATGGGAAGTGAGGCAGGGAGAAAAGCGAGGAAATCAGAGTCTGTTTATAAAAAAAACAATTTGTGTTTCCAGTTTTGGCGGGTTTACCTATTCTTGCTATTTTTTATTTATTCGTCGTTTCAATGAACGGGTGAGAGATTTTCAGTAGAAGTTGAAAATTATTCGCTAATATTTAATGGCAGTGAAGAGAAATTCATAGCCCCATAGAATGCATTATTCTTCGTTGGATTACTATGGCTTTAGTTACATTGTTCAGGTTTTACGCTTATTATCACACTTCTTAATTTTCCTTACCCGACATATCATGGTGAAAAATTATTAGAGTGATTTAATTTAAAGCAATCTCGCATTGCCACATCGCTTTTACTATAAATTCCCTCGTTTACAATATGTAGCAATCATATTTTGGAATGAGATCCGTTTGCTTGTCTTAATAGAATCATTTTTCTGCATTTACTATGGATCGATCAGTGCTACGGTTGTAGTAAATCGCTTAATTAGCGTCTTTATTCATCTCATTGTGCTTTTAATGCAATCATATTTTGTTTCAGCTGACAAAAAGTTATTAAAAGATGTTTTATTGAATGATGTTTGCTTTAAAAGGCGAAAAAGAAGGCACAAAGCAAAGAAAGCTCACTAGATCATCTCGTGTAAAGCACTCATCGGTATTTTTTCAGAATAATATGCTTTACCAAATCTCTGTTTCTTACTCTCTATTTACCTGCTGCTTTGTTTGATTCATCTGCCTTATCCCTACCAACCAGCAGTCTGCAGCTTATTATATAGATATACATTTATTTATTTATTTAATTATTATTATTATTATTAAGTATTGAGTGCTGTAGTATGAATAACAGCTTCGGGAGGCTTCATCTGTTCTAAAATATTTCTTTGTAAAGTTAATTTTATAAACAGTGTCTTTTCAATATGTTTAATCTTCGTCATGTTTCAGAAGTCATCAGATAGTAGCGCTTCATCTGGAAAAAGGCATGTTAAGCTGCAGAATATCAAACAGGTGCTAGTTGTAGAATACTGGATTTCAAAATATTTGCATACCTTCATATGTTAGATCCTCATTTACGATAGTTAGAAATAAAGCGAACTACTTTTAGTTTTGATGCCTTTTAATCGATAATTTTACTAAATTGCATGGCTTCTTTCTGATCATTTTTAAAATTTTGGAAAGTTATCTCTCCTTACTCCCTATGTCTTTTCGTTAATTTTTTCGTCGATTATTTGCGATTAATGATGTGAACTATCATCTGATGATTCTCTTTAAGATGTAAGCATTTAACATTTCACTGCAGTGTATATCTCAAACTTTAATGATGGGCTGGGTACTTAGGAGAGAAACCACTATGAAAGCGGAATATATATATAGAGCAGCTTCATTTTATAATTGCGTGTCTTGAATTATTGAAAAGATCGTATTCTTCAAGTATTCATATTCAGGATGAAGCATCAACCAATGTATCAGAATTGAAATCAACAGAAAAAGTACAAGCGCTTGCTCATTCACCTGTTGGTTATACATTAAGGTGAGACCTGTTCATATATATAATTCGTAGAAATCTAAAAATATCTTCAGTGAGCATTGTTTTGTAGAGATGTGTAAAAACAGTTCAAGAAGCCGCTTTAGCTTCAAATCAGGGTTGTTATCGTACTATTTATCACATACGCATAATACTATTATGTACTTTATCACATATTCAACTTTATTATCTTGAAATCAGCTTTATTATCATTTACTTTATTTATGCAGGAAATTTTATGACATGTTGGAACTGAATAGAAAACATTAGGAAAGCACTCATTTGATCCTAGGGTTAAATTCAAACTGTAGTAGTTCAGAAATACATAAATAGTGTGAACAACTTCCACACAGTATTTAATGAAAAAGGTTGTGAACTGTTAACAGTTATCCGCATTGACAGTTATTAGAAAATTTAGGTATACATTAATAAATGACGGCTTCTTTTTTTGATATTAATAATGTATATTGTTCTTTTTTTCAAGAGCAAATTTTTTTGTATGACTATATCTTAATATTACCTTTAATTATTTCTTTTTTAGCTTTTTTATTTTGTCTTTTTTATCTTTTTTACCTTTTTATCTTTTTACCTTTTTGTTGTCTTTTTTTGATATTACTTTTAATTACTTATATTCATTATGAATTTCGTAGATTTAAAATAAAGAAAACCAGAAAGTGAAAACTTATCTAGATTGAACGATGGACACAAAATTGAATTAATTTTTTAGAGTTTAATGTTTTCAATTTAAGTCATTTGCTTGATGTTAACTTGCGCGATTGTTCACAACAGTCAACATCTCTCAGTTCGAGACTAGACGATTCTCTGGATATTACAATTTATTGGGCTGATGGAAAAGGTCGATTTCCTTTTTGTTTTAGTTTTGTAAAGAGAGCCGCAAAAATTTTAATTTTAGTTTATCAGTTGACCACGTGGAAGCATGATCAGATTTTCGAGCTGGAGTATGAATATGTGCTAATGGCACCGTTGCGGATTCTTTTGTTGGGCGACATTTTTGTATGAGTCGAAATTTTTTTCCAACTTTTAAAATTTTTTCAAGAAGTACTCCTATTTCAGACGATTTAGCAGAATTTACGGAGATATATTAATTTTAACTTGCATCATATTTTTTACATTTCATTGATCGGTACGCCACAGAACTTTTTTTCAACGATATTGATCTCCTGAGTTGAATCGTCAAATTCCTAATTCCTATTTGCTATAAAATCTTGATACTCTATATACTCTCTCTCTCTCTCTCTCTCT